CAAAATGGACGAAGGTGCATCGAAGATGGCCCGAGATTGCCCGCAAGGAGGCCCAATATGACCCCAAGGCGGCCTAAAATGCCGCCAAGAGGGAGCAACCCAAACATCAGACCTCTTGTTTTTTTCAATACGGGATCCCCGGAAGTCCCGATTGCGTTCCACAGGGCTGCTATTTCATCCCGAATCATTGTTTGACAATTCCCAGGCCCAAAGATGGCGCTTGGAGGCCGAACACTAGCAACAACAGCCGTCGAGGTTTTTCCACGACGCGCGCATGTCTGGGAAGAGGGCCATCAGAGGACCCCCGGCAGGCCGCCTTTCCTCCTCTGAGTGACGGTGGCGAGCGCGCGCACGCGCCAGAGGTGCATGCGAATCAAAACGTCAAGGATAATCCAGCCGTGGCGACGAGGGCCCTGCAGCACGAGTAGCGGTACGGGTCTCTACTCCTCGCATATATTGTCTGGCGATGTAGGTTCTCTGAATCAGTCCCTGAGATCGGGCGTTGCAGCACAAACGGCAACATCGCAAACTCAAACTCGCGAGCAGAACCTTAGACCTATCTTGCTGCGCCATTTGTCGAGCCAGACCGATACGTGAGGGCCCCAAGGCCCGAAGCCGGGCGGAAACGACTTGTGCGAAACCATTGCATCGCCCCGAAATGAAGGGAAGTACCTCTCCTCCTCGGACCGACGGCGGCGCGTGCGCGCGCAAGGGGAGGAGCTGCGGGGACAGTAAGCGACCACAACCAATCTGAAGGACCCACCACGGGGGATGTCCTGCGCACGCCAACAATCGTCCAAACGCCGCAGCTAGCAAGCTTTGCCGAGTGCTGGTTGGGATCGACGTGGCGTCCCAGGATGGCCAAACCGACCCACATCACGACCGGGGTGCTCGTGCCGAGGTCAGTGGCTTCTCCCCCCTCCCGAAAAAAAAATACCTTACTTTTGTATCGGGCATGTCCTCGGGCGAAGAAGGAAAAACAGAAAAAATCAAGCATCATCAAGCAGATCCCTCTCTCTCTCTCTATATATATAGATATGTATGAGCAAAATCGTCCTCACAAGATGCTTGACTCATTTTGATTACTCCTACTGTAGAGAGGACGCGCGCGACTGAAACTTTGACTTGTGGCTGTGACAGTACTTGCTGTGCCCGGAGAGGGGCGCAGCCGCGCCTCTCCGCCGCCGCCGCGGCCTGCTGCTGCTGCTGCTTCACCTGCGGCGGCCCTGCCGGCGCCCCGGGCGCGCCGGCGCGCTCCTCTGGGGAGCCGCGCGCCGCGCGCCGCCCACCGCAGGGCGGCGCGGTGGCGGCCCCTTCCCGGCGGGGCGTCGGCGGCCATCGGCGGAGGCCCGCGGCGGCCATCGGCGGAGGCCGTCGGGCGGCCGCGCGGAGGCCTTCGAGCGGCCTTGGAGCGGCCGTCGGCGGCCGTCGGGAGGCCGTCGGGAGCCCTTGAGCGGCGTTCGTCGGCTCTGGGGCGGCCCCTTCGGACGGCCTCTGCGGGCGACGGCGTCGGCCGCTGCCCCCAGACCCATACGGATCTAGAGTGTGCTCGCAGAGCGCATCGGGATCCTCGGAGCGCTCGATGGCAACGACAGCTGCATCACATAAGCATTGCGTAACGATTCAGCTGCATGAAACATAACAGCAATCATTCAACACAAATTTGAATAATCTTTACCAACGTATAGAACACGAGCAGGCAGTATTGGTTAATACATTCGCACGCTTGTGCTAAGACGTGGAACGTGTCACCGATATCACAAACAGAGCAAACCACACTAAATCGTGAACATATCTAGATATAGATGTATGAGTATATATATACACATATGTGTGTACAGCTGTGTGCGGGTGACAATACACGTGCATAACTATAGACATGTTGGAAATGTTAAACCGAAGAACACATGGTGAACATACATACATGTGTATTCATATAACATACATACAGACATACATACATACATATGTGTATGCACATCTATGCGCGCGCGTGTGTATGTGTGTGTGTGCGCGTATTTGTATACTCGCCCCCCCCCCCCCCCCGAAACGCAGCCCACTGCACCTTCGCTTTCCGACCGTCGTTCCGCCCACACTCACATCCTCCTCTTCTTCCTCCACCTCCACCTCCTCCTCCTCCTCCTCCACCTCCCATGCCTCCTCCTCCTCCTCCTCCGAATCATCATCCTCATCATTTCCCCCCGATCGGCATCATCCTGATACAAGCACTCCCTTCGCACCTAGTACTACTCTTTCAGTTCCTTAAGCTCCTCCTCCTCATATCTCCCACATGGGGGGATCAGGAAGGGGAGTGGTATAATGATGAGGAGGGGGGAAGAGATCAGGAAGACACGGTAGACTTGGGGGATGCTGGGGAGGTTCAGGAGCCAATCGCCCCCTTCTGATGCTTATGCCGACCATCCCCCTCATCGCCCTCCATTGATCCCTCCTGCTCAGGAGGAGAAAGGGGGGGGGGGTCACGAGGACCTGGGACTGGCCCCTCGAACACCTCCCAATGGCGCTCCTCTGCCAGCTCCCCTCCCTCCCTCCCTTCTCTTTTCGAACGCGACGGCGCGACCGCAAAGCGAGTCTGGGTGCGGCGGGCGCACCGTGCTCTCAATGCGAGGCCGTGGCCCCAGCATTCAGAGCGCGCTCGCTAAGACCGCGGGCCGTGTCCGCGCAGAGTTTGCGGCGGTTCTGGGCCAGGGTCGGGGTCGCGCGATAGCTGCCACCGGAAACGCGGCAGCACGGCCCGTCCTGGAACAAGCGTCCGGCCCCGATCAAAACGAGATATCAATTCGGACCGAAAGCACATATTCGGTCGTATCGTAGTCGACAGACAGGCAAAATAGGGCTGGAGCCGCCACGTGGGCGGGGCCGAAAGACGGATCACAGCTCGTCAGACGGAGGCCCGTCTGCTGCTCGACCACCTTCTCGGCGCGAAGCGGGTATAGAAGTCCTCCGCGCCCCTCGGGACACTTGAACATGGCCGAAACAACGGACGAAGGATGACTCGTGGTTTCGCTGACGATGGTCCCAGGATAAACTTCATGACAGCGAAGCGACACTTTTTGGTCAGCAGCTCCAAGGCAACGGACAGGGAGCGGAAGCGGCGTCCGGGTCACGGTACGGGGCTAATTACAAGACAATTCGCCGCCAGCCAGAGTCGGCGGACAGACAGCTCGCACCTGCACGTGCACTGAACAAAATGAACAGAATTCGAAGGGCAAAGGCACATAGGCGCAGCAGCCCAAACCACAGTGGGCAGGCCGCCGTGCGCGGTGAACGAAGCGGAGCGACACGCGTAGCTGAGGTATTGTGCACAAGACCACACGCCGGCCACGGAGGCCGCGGGCGCGCGGGCGATACGCCAGGCGCTGTCGTGGCCCATCGCTGCACGAAAGTTGGAGTGCCTGTCAATCGCTTGCTCTTGAGCAATACAGTCGGGGCCTTGACCAAATGAAGCCTAAACAAGGAACGAGGTCCCTTTTTTTCCATGGGTTTAAACTTCGATTTCCGATCGGAAACATAAGGGAAACCTGAGGCAAGCTGTGAAACAATCAAGGAACACCGAGCTCCTCCCCAACGAAAAGGGTTCCTTCTCCAGCGCCCCGTCTGTACTCTCAAAGACCTCGTAGATGTCCTTCGGTGCACGGGGCGTGCGAACTACGTCAGCCACGCCAGCGCCGGCACGACGATATTCGAGTGTCTCGAAGAAGCTCTCTTCGACGTCATCCCACGTCGACCTCAGGACTCTGCGGACCATGAGGAGCAAGAAGACATTCGGCACCAACCTCGAGGATGCAATTACGCCCTCAACTGGAGTAGCCAGATTGAAAGCGTCACGAAAAGGTGGCGGAGTGGCGCCAACTTCTCATTCTGGCGGAACCAACGGATCCGGATGGTAGTCAAATTTGATCTAGCGCGTCGACCCTGCGGCGACTTGCGAATCGAAGACTTCTTGAGGAACCGCCTGCGACGTGAACAGGGACGCGTACCACGCAGTCTTCAGGTGCGTGAAAGCAGTCCCCCAGATGGCGACGTTGTCATCCAACGCGAACGGAATGCCGACGCAACGAGTAAGGTCACGCAATTGCGTCACAGAGCAGCCGTAGGACAAAATCGGCGCGAGGTCTCACGGAAGCGCGAGAAACGGGGAAGCTTGTTGCGCTCCGTCTGCCCGCCAGCCGTGCCAAGACACTTGTCAATGGTTGCGAGCGACTCGAAGAGCTCGAAAGTGCCGCGGCGTACAAAGAAGCGCCTTGGTGCAGCACTTGCGAGCGAGCCCTCGCAATCGGCAGTCGATGGCATGACGAGCGAAGCCCCGATACTATCACGAGCAAGGGCTAGCCTCTCGTAATTGCTCTTGTCCTCGTCCTTGCCCTTCGGAGCGGTGACATTGTCGTGCTTCCTCGTGCCAGAGATGGATGACTTGCCGCCCTTGCTTGCGGCTGCCACCCCTCCTCTTTGCCCTCCCTCCGCGTCCTCCCACCGTCTCCGCCTGCCAGGGGGGAAATTCAATGACTAGCTCCTCTTCCTCCTCTATCCGTCTCCCCCCTCTGCCTCTACCAACCAGCAGGATGAGGTCACTGAGTAGCTCCTCGTCATCCTCCTCCTACGTATCTATATATATATATATACACATAGAAGACTGCATTGGCACTTCGTGCCGTAGAACTTGGTCCTTGTTTGGTATACAGGCGGAATTGCTGAAAGGTCAGACTGACAATTAAACGATGGCTCCTCGTTGCCTTTTCTGGCATCGCCGTTATAATAATGTGATTCGCTATCCTGCCTTCATGTCTCTTTTCCCTCATTCTCGCCATACCCTGCGTATTCTCCCCATCCTCCGCAGCTCTTTTTGCGGGGGCTCCTCCTTGAAGAGCCTCTGGGGGCCTCACAAAAGTTGTTCCAGCTTTCTAAAGGCCTTCTGGAGGGCTCCTGGGCGTTTTCTGGGGGCTTCTGGGGGCTTCCTCGGGACACCCTGCCTCCAACCGCGGTCTCCCTGAACGACCGGGTCACAATTTGGAATGCATCGGAGGGTGTCTTGGGGCCATCTTGGGCCGTCATGGGGCTCTCTTAGGCCATCTTGGAACCCTGTTGTGCCGTCTTGGGGCTCTCTTGGACTGCCTGAGCCGAGCCCTTTCCTCCCAGGCGGCTTTGGACGCCCAGGAGCCCGCCGTCTTGGAGCGTCGGGAAGCAGAAAAAAGGAGCACCCTAAAATTCACCAAGAACCGACAACAAATCAATGATTTGTGCCTCTTGGGGCCTTCTTGGGAGTGCTCTTGGAGGCATCTTGGGACGTCTTGGAGCGATCTTTGGCGGAATGACGGCTTCTTTGGGGTCGTCGTGGACTGTCTTGGGCCTCTCTGGGGTCGTTTCAAGGGCGCGCCGGAACGCCTGGAGGCCCCTGGGACCGTCCCTGGTCGTCTGGAGGGTAACCCAAGAGGCCTGGGGTGGGCCACATTCGTCAAAGAAGGGGGGCTTTTTTGGGGATCCCCGGCCCTAAATATATGAATCGGAATTTAGACTATGAGGCATGGATATATGCTAGAGCAGTGTATGCTTGTACGCATGTGTCGCGTATCTACACACAAACCCATCTGTATATATATATATATATATACATATACATATATATATATATATATATATATATATATGAGTGAGGGGCCGAACGGTCATTCATTGTCCCTGGGTGCGTGGCTGAAGTGATAATCCGTGGTGAGGTTTCTGGTTGTTGCGTTGTTGTTGTTGCTGCTGCTGTTGTTGTTGTCGTTGTCGTTGTCGTTGTCGTTGTCGTTGTTGTTGTTGTTGTGGTTGTTTGTTTGTCGTCGTCCCCCCCACGACCCACCCGCGACCCACCCGCGACCCACCCCGCGACCCACCCACGACCCAACCCGCGACCACCCCGCGACCTACCCCGCGACCCACCCACGATCCACCCCGGGACCCATCCGCGACCCACCTGCGACCCACTCGCGACCCACTTGCGACCCACCCGCGACCTACCCCGCGACCCAGCCGCGACCGATCCGCATTGGTTCGAAGAAAAGATCGGCGCCTGCGGCGAGCACGTTGTATAATCTGTGCAACTGTATCGCCTACGGTGGGCTTCTCCAAAGACTCGCAGACTGCCGACGCCCCCACCGCCCCCTCACTCTTACCCGCATCTGCGGGTTGCTACGTATGCAATATATATATATATATATATATATATATATATACAGAGAGAGAGATACATATACATATAAATATATGTGAGAGAAAAACAAAGAAACGCGTCCATGGCCTGGGGGGGGGGGGCAGGCCCATTCCTCATGGGGGTGCTGGGGCTCCTGGCGGCCTCGCGGCGCCTCCCAAAAACTCCCGGGTGGGGGGGGGGGGCAGGCCCATTCCCCCATGGGGGAGCCCGCGCTCCCGGCGGCCTCGCGACGCCTCCCAAGAGCTCCCGGATGCTCCCAGGAGGACCCCGAGACAACCAAACTTGCTCCGAGACGCCCAAGAAGGCGCCAAGACGTTTCAAGACGCCCCCAGGACACTTCAGGATATCCCCAAGAGGCTCTCCAAGACAGCCCCAAGAGGCAACAATCCTGTGGTGTTGGGTCCTCGTTTTGAAGCGACGGTCCCCGCGTTCCTTCCTTCCTTCCTTCCTTCCACCTCACCCTCCTCCTCCCTCCCATCGCTGCCTCTGCCCTGCGCAGGTTCTCGTCGTCGTCGTCATCATCACCATCACCATCACCATCACCATCACCATCACCACCACCATCACCACCATCATCATCATCATCGTCATCATCATCATCAATCATCATCATCACCATCACCATCACCATCACCATCACCATCATCATCATCATCATCACCATCATCATCAACCATCATCATCATCATCATCATCATCATCATCATCATCATCATCATCATCATCATCATCATCAATCATCATCGTCTTCATCATCATCATCATCATAATCATCATCAACATCATCATCATCATCATCATCATCATCATCATCGTCATCGGCATCGCAATGTCATCGTTATCATCATCGTCATCGACGTCATGATCATCGTCACCATCATCCCAAGAGGCCCCAGAGCGGCCTAAAAAAATGCCCAAGACGGCCAGAAACGTTCCCGAAGACGGCGCCGCAAGCCGGAAACGCAAGCCTTCCGTGCCGAGAGGGCTCCCGGAGGCTCAACGACGAGCTCTGTAGGCCCGATAGGACCACTCCTAAGAGGCATCGTGGCTTCTATTCGTCTCTCTTTTTGTTGATTGCTTTCTCTCTCTCTCTCTCTCGGTGTGCCTCGGTCTCTCTCTCTCTCTCTCTCGGCTTTCGGGCTCCCCGAGATCCCCGGAGCCCACGTTTGCGAACGTCTTGGGCCCTTCGTGGGCCGTACCGACAGCGAAAACAAACTACGTTTTACAAACAGAATGAGGCTATTTTGGCCGCTTGGAATTGTATTGGGGGCCCTATTGGGGGTCGCTTGGAGTGTCTTGGGGACTTCTGAAAATGTCTTCGAGGCCATGTTAAGCGTCTAAGAGCGACCTTCGGGCGTCCGGTGTCTGTTCTGGAGCCTCTTGGACCCTCCTGGACGCCGAAACCCTGTAAAATCACAAGGAAAATGAGCCCCGGGGCCCACATTTGTGGTCGAGGTCCCGGCCCGGGCCCCCGGACCCGGTGCGCCGTTATATGTATACAATGGGCTGTACCGCAAAAACTGGAACTCTGTCGCTGTTGGCCTGCTCGGTTCTGAAGTGCAGCGTCGAGTCGCGCGAAAGTGGCCCTTGCCACTGACAAAGACCGAGCCTGGCCTCTGGGTTTCTCATCCACCAGAAAGGTTCTCAGAAAGGTATGGTGGGCACAGTCCGCTGGGGGTGTCATTACGTCTCTGTGGTCGTCTTCCCCCAGCAGGCCCCCGACGGCAAGCCCTGCTCGCCCCAGATGTTTCACGTACACGTTCAAATACTGGAGGCCACCGTCCGTGCGCCCGTGAACGACTTTCAGCTCCACCTTACGGAACGATGGGCCGAAAGCAATCCATTGTGGAGCCTTGTCATCGGGTTGCAATGCGCTATAATGATACCCTCCAGCTTGTTCGGCCTCTGCCCACGAACCCGTAACGTTCAACTCTTGGAAGTACATGTCAGAACACTGTCCACCCAGGCGGCGCGCGTAGGCCTGCACGCGAAGCAATGCGACTTCAGCGATCATTCCACGAGGGATGTTGATTCGCCGACCCCTTCGGGTGACCCCGCGTGGGAGATCCTAGGCAGCCCACGAGGGTCACAAAGCTGCCAACGAAGCCCCCACGACCTCGCCCAGAGGTCCCCCAGGGCGGCCCAAGAAACACCAAAGATGGCCATTAGCCCGAAGATGGCGCCACGACGTCCGTGAGAGGATCCCAGAGAGTGCCTGCGACTGCGCCAGGCACCCGAAGATGGCCCAGGAGTCTCCCAAGAGGCTCCCAAGAGGCCTCAAGGTGTCTCCAGGAGGCCACCAGGTTAACCCCAAACACTCCCAGGAAACTCAGACGCCCATGCCCCATGCGTTCTGGACATGCACCACCCCTCGAAGCAAGAGGAACCCGATCTCACGTGTCAGCTGTAACTAAAATGCACCCAAGGGGTCGGCGGTGCGGCTTCAGCCCAAAAATCAGAACATGCTGGCCCGGCTTCATCAAATCGAACCGCTCGCCATGAAGGTTCTGCAAATGGGGATCGCCGGTGGCAGCCACACCAGCGCCAGCTGCACCAATCGAAGGAAACGTCGGGTGCGGCGTCGGCCAACCTGGAGGATACGTCGGGTTCGGTGTCGGGCTGGGCGTTGGGAACGGCGTCGGGAACGGCGTCGGGAACGGCGTCGGGAACGGCGTCGGGAACGGCGTCGGGAATGGCGTCGGGAACGGCGTCGGGTTTGGAGTGGGGTTGGGAGTGGGGTTGGGCGTCGGGTTGGGCGTCGGATTAGGCGTGGGGTTGGGCGTGGGGGTGGGCGTCGCTGCGCTGCCCCCCCAGACGTAAAACACCACATCGTCCAACTTCTTGTAGTAGGAGCAATGGTGTCCACCGTTGACGCAGCGGTAGCCTGAAGGGCCCGCCCAGCAATCGACTGAACCATGCCCAAAGAAATATCGGCAGCACTCTTGTCCAGCGAGACCGGGCCTTGTGTGCAGCAAGTCTATGCCGTGCGCTGTGGAAGGTTAATAGGCCCAGGTCGAACAGGATTCGTAGGATGAAGCCAAGCAAACTCTGGTATTGGCGTACGTCAGGCCGAAAGACGCCGAGGTGTCGACGTAGTTGTCGTTCGACCTCACGTACAAGTAGCTACTGCAATCGGAACTCTTGATTTGGTAGACGTGCGAGTAGCCATCTCGTGCCACTGCCCTAGAATTGATTTCAGAGTCAGACAATTTTGCATGGCTTGATCCGATCGACGCAGAGATGTTTCCGTACGCCCCGGTTGTGAGGGGGAAGGAATAGGACCCCCTTGAACCATCCTGGATCTGGTATATCTTAACCCATTCGCTGGCCTCCGCCATTGCCTCGGCCTCGGCCTCCATGCGAGACGTGTTGGTACGCTGCCGCGCGTGGACAGCGGCCGCGGTAGTGGACAGAACTGCCATTTACATGGACGCGCGTGCCGCATGGGTTTTTATGTCGCCCGGGCCTTGCGAGAAGAGTTCGTAGGTGTCAGTGTGTGGGTACCAAAAGCTTTTGAGAAGACCTAATGGCTATGGAACAGCGCCTCTGCGTCGGCCATTCTGGAATCCCCGAGCCCTCATGAAGAAGTGGCACCTCTTGCTCTTGGGAACGCACCATCTACTTCTGCTTGCATCCGGAAGCCCTCTGCCGACGTCCGCCGACGGAGCCATCAATGTTCCATGTTCGACGGCTTTCGCCAGCATTTTCCCAGCCGAGGGCCCCAGAGAGCCCAAGATGACCGCCAAGATGGCTCCAGATGCCTCAAGACGGTTCCAAATGGTTTCGAAGATATCTTAAAAGACTCCAAGACGGCCCCAAGACGGCCCCAAGTGGTCTGTGTTTGGTTGCCTCCTCGTCGTGTCACTTCTGATGCCTCCCCGAGGCCTCGGGATGACTCCAAGGTGGTCCAAGACAGCCCCAGGAGAGGTCCAAGAGGCCCCGAGACGGCTGCAAGAGCGCCCACGATCGCCTCAAGATGGGCTCCAAGAGAGGTCAAAGAGGCGCTCGAAAGTGGCCATTGTCAACGACAAGGAACGAGCCTATCCGCTGGTGTGTTCATTCACTGGAGAGGTATGATGGGTACAGCCCGCTGGGGGTGTCATTACGTCTTTGCGGTTTTCCCCCAGCAGGCCCCCGACGGCAAACCCTGCTCGCCCCAGATGCTCCACGTACACGTTCACATAGTGGAGGCCAACGTCCATGCGCCCGTGAGCGACTTTCAGCTCCACCTTACGGAACGATGGGCCGAAAGCAATCCATCTCGGAGCTTGTCATCGGGTTGCAATGCGCTATGATGATACCCTCCTCCTCCTGCTCCTCCCCTCCTCTTCCTTCCTCCTCCTGCTCCTCCTGCTCATCCCCCGCTCTCCTTCTCCTCTGACTCCTCCTACTGCTCCTCCTCCTCCTACTCCTCCTCCTCATCCTGCTCCTGCTCCTGTTCCTCCTCCTCCGGCTTTTCCTGCTCCTGCTTCTCCTCCTTATCCTCCTCCTCTTCTTGCTTCTGCTCGTCCTCCTCCTCCTCCTCCTCCTCCTCCTCCTCCTCCTCCTCCTCCTCCTCCTCCTCTCGCTGGAAACATCCTGTCACCCCCAGCTCGGAGAGGCAGCGTGGACCTGCTCAGTGAAGGAAGTATCCATCTTGGAAAGATATCGGAAGCTCGGAAGCCATGAAAGCCAACCTGGGACGTTCTCAGGCGCTTCTCAGGCTGTCCCAAAACGTCGGGAAGGTCAAAACCGGGCCGTCTTGGGGCTCTCTTGGGCTGGCTTGAGGCCCTACTTGGAGCTTTTTTGGCCATCTTGAGGCGGTCTTGGAGGCATAGGCTATCTTTGGGCGCCGGGAAACTGAAAAGGCGAGGAGGCCGAACACCTGCAAAATCCCGGGGAAAATAAGTGATTTCGACCCTGGTGGCACTCGTGGGAGACCTCTTGGAAGCCTCTTGGGCCGCCTCAGCGACCTCGTGGGCTGTCCTTGGGCCATCTTCGGTCGGCTTGGAGTATATTCTTGGGCGCTCTTGGGCGCCTTCTGGGTCGTCTGGAGTTCCTCTTGGGCCGTCTTAGGGGTGCTCTGGAAAGCTCATTCTGAATTTCAATAAAACAATGGAACATCAACAGTGCTTGCCTGTTGAGGCCCTCCTGGGAGTCCTGGAGGGCCTCAACGAAAGTTGTGAGCCGTCGAGGAGCTCTCTGGGGCTGTATTGGGGCTCTCTGGGGCACGTCCTGGGCCGGACCGACAGCGAAAACAAACAACATGTTTAAAGTATACGTTTTACAAAGGGAATGGGGCTATTTGGGCCACTTGGAGCTCTCTTTGGAGCCCTATTGGGAGTCGCTTGGAGTGTCTTGTGGACTTCTGAAGGTGCCTTCGAGGCCATGTTGGGCGTCTGGGAGCGACCTTCGAGCGTTCTGGGTCTGCTCCCGAGCCTCTTGGGGCCTCCTTGGCGCCTCCTGTGAGGCCCTGGAATGCCGAAACCCTATAAAAATACAGGGAAAATGAGCCCCCAGGCCACACATTTGTGGTCGAGGTCCTGGCCCCGGGGCCCCGGGCCCCGGTGCCCCAGGGCCAGGTGAAGGTCCAACACCTGCACGAACAGGAAGACATGACAAAAGCCAATCCACATCTCATTATCTCTGTTATCGCCGGTCCGAAGGAAGCCCCGTCCGTAAAAAAAGATGTTGTCCCAGGACGTCCAACATGAGCCCCAATCGCTTCATAGCGTATACGGCACCTGCATACTGGGGTCAAAGCCTGGGCACCAGTAGCCAAGGGACGCCGACCGATAACTCAGATGCATCACGATTATGCTGGATTGCCTTAAGCACCGTGTCATACATGCAGGCACGCGTGGGCAGAGGATGAGCAGGAGGATTGGAAGGATTGGGAGGATGGCCAGCGGCGGCTCCCCCAATCAGAGGAGGATCGGGAGATGAGAGGGCAGGAGGAAGAGGAGGAGGGGGAAGAGGAGGAGGGGGAAAAGGAGGAGGAGGAGGAGGAGGGGGAGGAGGAGAAGAGGAGAGAAGGAATAGGTGGGTGTCATGACCCGTACTCACTCATCCATGAACAAACATAAGCCGCGCCAATACCCTTTCATGGTCTTGGGCGTGACATGACCGATACTGAGCAAGCTGCAATCAAAAAGCTGATCGACTTCCCATCAGAACCGAAGATAATCAATATAAGCAGCGTGTGATACGAGGGAAACCGTACCATTGCACCCACGAAAACAATCAACCTCAGACCCTCCCAGGCACTCTGAAGGAGAGCCTGCAACCACTGGCAGAACACTGACAACGAGGCACCACCAGGCCTCCCCTTGAAGGGTCTGGGGCATTGCCCGTCCTGAAGAACACCATAGAAACACATCATCTCATCCCTGTTGACGGTCAAGGGCATAACCGATATAGAAGACAACCATCAATCGGTGCTAGAACCATCGCGCGCTTCGCGCGTGCTCATGCTCCACATATCTTGGAGTCGAACGCTTGCCGACGAAGAGGCCCCAGCGGTCTCCAAGAGGGCCCCCCAAAAAAAACACAAGTTGCCCCCAAGAGCGCACGAAGGGCGGCCCAAGAGGCATTCAAGAGGCGATTTTTCGGAGCTCCTGCATGTGGACTTCCGAACGGAGAGGAGCGACTTCTGCTCCCTGGGGCTCCCTCAGGATCGCCAGGGGTGCTTCGGGGCGTCCGGGAAGCAAGCTCTAGGCTCTAGGGGGCGTTTCGGAGCTTCATGGGGGCGTCTTGGGGGCCTCTTCGGCGCTTCTTGGGCGCCTCCTGGGTGCTTCTCAAGGCCTCCTGGGGACCTCCAGGGACGGAGACTTCCGTTCCAATACCCCCTCTGGCCCCCTTCTTGGAACTGTCCTGGGGGCTTCTTGGGCCGTCTTGGGGTCCCTTCAAGCCGTGTTGGGGCGCTCCTGGCGTGTTTTGGATCTGTCTTGTGAGCCTCTTTGGCTGCCTTGGTGCGATATTCGGAGCCGTCGTGGAGCAACGTCAAGCCGAAAAGGCGGGAACCACAAAAAACTAATAAAAACCAATCGGCCAATTAATAAAATTGGTGTCTTTATGCCCTCTTGGGGCCCTACTGGGGAGCGTCTTGAAGCCTCCGCGGGCATCTTGAAGCTTTTTGGGCCGTCTCGGGGCTACCTTGGGCGTCTTAGAGCGGACTCTTGGCGTCTCGGGTCCCTCCTTGAGCGTCTTCGGATTCTTATGGCGCTTTGTTGTGACGTTTTGCGAGCCTCTTGCGCCGTCTTGTTGACCCTTTGGGCCGTCTGGGAGCGCTCCTGGGCTATCTTGGAGCCCTCTTGGGAGCCTCTTGGGCAGTTTTTTTTTCCCCACCCTGAGCCGCACATGGTCTACCAAAAAAATGCTCAAGGACCTGCACATGTCTCGCGTGCCACGCCTACTCTGTTTCAAGGGCTCTTTATATAGTGACACGGGTCCAGTGAGACACGAAAAGCAGCATGCAGAAACACACCCCTAGCACATGCAATCGACCATGGATCGGCTCTCCGATTCATGTGGAAACATGTCGCGATTGTCTGCTCTCCGTCGCGGCCTGTGTTGGCCAAGACAAAAAATCGCAGGACCCGCTGGCCAGTCACAGCGTGTGCTGGCTGGGGATACAGCGACGTGCAGACTCAGCATGCTGAATCGCACCCCTAGGACGTGCAATCGACCCTGTGATGGTCTTGTCCTCGTCGGGGCCTGAGCCAGCCACGTATTAAACTATAGCCTCCATCATTTCCGTTTCTTGATTGAAGCCCCTTTGGGCCGTGTTTTGTTTTTTTTGGGGGGGAACAATAGGGACGACTGGGCATGTTTGCGCGGCCACCACGCAGGACCTCTGGCGGCGCCACTTTAAAAGGATTAAGTTCCCTACCACGCTGGCATTCAGCGAGGCGTTGCTGCCCGCACAATATGCCCGATCTGTCTGCCACGCCCGCCAGCTCCCGAGTCATTTTTGCCGATGAGCGACGGGCGGTCCAGCAGGCTGAAATGAAGACTCTGCTGCCCAGATATACCAGGCCACGCCTGCGAGAAGAGGCAACGGTCGCAAGCCAGCTGACTGCCAGAATAAAGGCCCGCGACACATACCACGAACAGAGCTACGAGTCTCAATGAATATGGCTGGGTAACCAACAAGCCGAAGCGGTCCAACCCTGCGTTGCGAGGCCTTTCCAAGAAGAGCCCAGGAAAACGCGAACTATTCGTTTCCATTTGCTTCTTGAACGAATTGGGACACCTCGCCGGTTCGGCCCCCCGACGCTCCACAACGGCTCGGAGAATCCCCAGGACGACTACCAAACGGCCGAAGATCCCCCCCGCGAAGAAGGCCCCGAGGCGTCCCAAGAGAACTTCCAAGCCGCCCTCCTCCTCCTCCTACTCCTCCTCCTTCTCGTCCTCATCATCCTCCTCATCCTACTACATATCTGCTGCTCATCTTCCCCTCTTCCTCCTCCTCCTGCCTCTCCTCCTCCTCCTCCTGCCGAAGACTGCGGCAAAACGGCCCCAAGAGACGAGCCCCACCAAAGAAACGGCAAGCCGCATATTCAAGCTTCCTGCCTCGAGAAAGCCAGCGCCGCCACAAGAGGCCTCCAGGAGGCCACAAACATAGAACCCGTTGAAACTCGAGTGGTTTTGAAGCGCGTGGGACTTATCGCTCCAGAGGCCCAAGAGGCCCCAGGGCGGCCTAAAAAAATGCCCAAGACGGCCAGAAACGTTCCCGAAGACGGCGCCGCAAGCCGGAAACGCAAGCCTTCCGTGCCGAGAGGGCTCCCGGAGGCTCAACGACGAGCTCTGTAGGCCCGATAGGACCACTCCTAAGAGGCATCGTGGCTTCTATTCGTCTCTCTTTTTGTTGATTGCTTTCTCTCTCTCTCTCTCTCGGTGTGCCTCGGTCTCTCTCTCTCTCTCTCTCGGCTTTCGGGCTCCCCGAGATCCCCGGAGCCCACGTTTGCGAACGTCTTGGGCCCTTCGTGGGCCGTACCGACAGCGAAAACAAACTACGTTTTACAAACAGAATGAGGCTATTTTGGCCGCTTGGAACTGTATTGGGGGCCCTATTGGGGGTCGCTTGGAGTGTCTTGGGGACTTCTGAAAATGTCTTCGAGGCCATGTTAAGCGTCTAAGAGCGACCTTCGGGCGTCCGGTGTCTGTTCTGGAGCCTCTTGGACCCTCCTTGACGCCGAAACCCTGTAAAATCACAGGAAAAATGAGCCCCGGGGCCCACATTTGTGGTCGAGGTCCCGGCCCGGGCCCCCGGACCCGGTGCGCCGTTATATGTATACACACGTGTCGTGGCCCCGCAGGGAGCCCCATCGAAGGCCTCAATGGCGGTGTTCGCATGCGTCTCCCCCACCCAGTACAACGTTTCGTTGGGCCGCATCGGGAGCTCCACCGAAGGCTCCAAGGGCGGTGTTCGCATGCGGTTCCCCAGACCAGTACAGGGATTCGTTGGCCCCATGGGGAGCTCCACCAAAGGCCCCAATGGCGGTGTTCGCATGCGGTTCCCCCACCCGGTACGGCGGTTCGTCGGCCCCATAAGGAGCTCCACCGAAGGCCTCAGTGGCGGTTTTCGTATGCGATTCCCCGACCCAGTACAGCGTTTCGTTGGCCCCAAAGGGAGCTCTACCGACGGCTTCAGTGGCGGTGTTCGCACGCGGTTCCCCCACACAGTACAGAGTTTCGCGGCCCCATAGGGAGCTCCACCGAAGGCCTCAGTGGCGGTGTTCGCATGCGGTTCCCCCACCCAGTACAGCGTTTCGTGGCCCCACAGGGAGCTCCACCGAAGGCCCCCGTGGCAGTGTTCGCATGCGTCTCCCCCACCCACTACAGCGCTTCGTGACCCCATAGGGACTCCACCGAAGGCCCCAATGGCGATGTTCGCATGCGATTCCCCCACTCCGTACTACAGCGTTTTACGGACCCATGGGGGGGTCCACCGAAGGTCCCAATGGCGGCCGCGCCCCATTGCGGTGCACCCCTCACACGTTTCGCGGTCGCATAATAGGTTCCACCTGAAGACCTAGGGCCCCCGTGGCGGTGTTCGCATGCGTCTCCCCAGGACAGCGTTTTGTGGCCCCACAGAAAGCTCAACTTGAGGCCCCAATGGCGGTGTTCGCATGCGGCTCCCCTTCGCGGCCCCACAACGAGCTCCACCTAAGGCCCCTGTGGCGGTGTTCGCATGCGTTTCCCCAACCCAGTACAGCGATCCGTGGCCCCATAAGGAGCTCCACCGAAGGCCCCCCGTGGCAGTGTTCGCATGGGTCTTTCCCACCCAAGACAACGTTTCGTGGCCCCACAGAGAGCTCCATCTACGGCCCCAGTGGCGGTGTTCGCATGCGTCTCCCCCACCCAGGACAGCGTTCCGTGGCCCCACAGGGAGCTCCACCGAAAGCTCCAATGGCGGTGTTCGCATGCGTCTCCCCCACCCAGGACGTCGTTCCGTGGCCCCACATCAAGATCCACCTTAGTGCCCCCGTGGCGATGTTCGCATGCGTCTTTTCCCACCACCCAGGACAACGTTTCGTGGCCCCACAGGGAGCTCCACCTACGGCCCCAGTGCCAGTGTTCACATGCGTCCCCCCGCCCCGGACTGCGTTTCGTGGCCCCAGAGAGAGCTCAATTTGAGGCCCCAATGGCGGTGTTCGCGTGCGTCTCCCCCACCCAAGACAGTGTTTCCTTGGCCCCACTGGGAGCTCACCTAAGGCCTCGGTGGCGGTGTCCGCATGCGTCTCCCCCACCCAAAACGTCGTTTCGTTGCCCCACGGAAAGCTCCACTTGAGGTCCCAGTGGCAGTGTTCGCATGCGTCTCCCCTACCCAGGACAGCGTTCTGTGGCCCCACATCGAGCTCCACCTAAGGCCCGGATGGCGGTGTTCACATGCGTCCCCCCCGCCCAGGACAGCGTTTCGTGGCCCCACAAGGAGCTCACCTAAGACCTCGGTGGCGATGTCCGCATGCGTCTCCCCCACCCAAAACGTCGTTTCGTCGCCCCACGGGGAGCTCCACTTGAGGCCCCAGTGGCGATGTTCGCATGCGTCTCCCCTACCCAGGACAACGTTTCGCGGCCCCACAGGGAACTTCACCTGGGTGGAGCGACCTGCGGAGCTGCGGCGTCCTGCATGGCGTACTGCAAAGCAGGCACCGCCTCGTGGCCCACAGAGGGAGACACCCTCACACATTACGCGCCCCCCCATAAGAAACCCCACCGAAGATTATACGCGCGATCGCGGTACCTACAGCTGAATCTGGTTGGGTATTTTGCCAGGCTAATTGTCATATTCTTCTGGCTCTGATCTTATCGGCTTCCCGACGCTCTGGGATGGCCCGAGAAGCGCTCGTGCACGTCCCCATATGGCGGAAAAGGCGTCCCAGACCGCCCCAAGACAGCCAACGAGGCCCCTAAAACAATCCCAAGAAGCCCCCGAGACGCTCCGGGACGGCCTGAGAAGCGCCCGAGAACGTCAACTGAAAGCACAAAAGGCTTCCCAGACCGTCCCAAGACAGCCACCGAGACTCCTAAGCAGCCCCAGATGCTCCCAAGGAGCCCAGGAAGTCCCCACGCCGCTCCAAGAGGGGGCCCAGACAGGCGAATCTGGATAGAATTTTCAGGCTCTCGGCACCAAGAGGCCCCATGAAATCAACAAAGAACCTCAGGACGTTCCCAAGAGGCCACCAGAAGGCCCTCGAGGCCCACACGAGGTCACCACAAGGCCCCGAACTTCCGAAGATGCCTCCCAAGATCCCAGGAAGTTCTACAAGGCAATCAAAAGACCCCCACCGGGGTATCTGGGAAGGTCCCAGAGCTCCCGAGACGGCCCGGGCCCGCCCCGAAACAGGCCACGACAGGCTAAGGGGGTCCCAGGGCCCAAGACGGTCCCAAGAAGCCCCGAAGACGCCCAAGATGCCCTCAAGACGGCCGACGAGGACTCTAACACGCTCCAGGACGGAATCAAGAGGCTCCCCAAGATGGCCCTGGGAGACAAAATTCATTAATTTCAGTTTGGTTTTTGAAGGATTTTGGCGTTCTCGCTTTTCCCGCTTCCAAGACGGCCCAGGAGGCTCCCCAGACAACCTAATGGTACCCCAATAGCGCCCCAAGAAGGGGCCCAGAGGGGGGCCGCGAACCGATATTTCGAAGTCTCTGGCCTTAGAGGCCCCCAGTAGGCCCCCGGAGGCCACCAAGAGGCTCCCACGAAGCTCCGTGAGGCGCCCAAGAGGCCCCCAGGAACTTAGATGATCTTAAAAACGCTGGGGACGTTTTTTTTTCCGTTTTGGAGATCGACGTTTTTTTTCCTGTTTTGGGAGCCGTTTTTTTCTGTTTTGGATTTGCGCCTTGCCGTTTTCGGTTCGTTTTGCGATCCGTTTTTTAATCGTTTTCACCTGCCGTTTTCTGTACGTTTTCGTCGCGGCGAAGACGAACCTCTCAAGGCCCGTGCCGTTTTTTCTCTGTTTTGGTTCTCCGTTTTGTGTGCGTTTTCGCCCGCCGTTTTTGTTACGTGTTGGTCCTGGTCACATCGTTTTGGGCACGTTTTGCGTTACCGTTTTTGTTCTGTTTTGGTCGACCGCAACGCCAGAAGTTGAAAACGGAAAAAAACGCCCCCAGCGTTTTTAAGAACAACTAAGCCCAGGAAGCCCCAAGAGGCCTCCAAGGAGCCCCCAGGGAACGCCCAAGAGGCCCCCCAACACACCCCAACAAGGACATGCTTCATCATGGGCCCGAGAGTCTCGAGGTTCCGAAGTACCATCACGCTACCGGATATCTGTCTGGGAAGTTGATTGGGAACATGACTGATCGCCTTCTCGCGGACCTCCGCAGATCGTTTCGCACAAAGTTGCCCCAAGGGACCTCTTTTTTTGTTTGCTACATTCTGACCACATTGACTAAAACAACGTTGAACGGCCGAACTCATATGTGTCAGGTCCTGCAATGGAAGATAATCCAACCGACTTCTGCGCCACGCTCAACATGTACTCAATGTAGGTGGCAAGACCAACCGATGTGAACAACGGCCTATATTTCTGGACAATCGCCAAACGCTTTGCTACATCATCCGCCTTCATCTGGTCAATCATATGGACGACGTTCGTTAGCTCAGACTTGGGAAGCAACACTGCGAACTCATGCCAACGCACTCCAATGTCTCGGTAAGGTAACCAAATGAAAGCTTCTGGTCGATTCCGACAAGACCAATTTGCAAGAAGATGCGTCGGCGTGTTGCATCTGTCGGCGAACATTTCATATGGGATTATCGGCAGAGATCCTACCTGCAAGGCCTGTTAGGTAACAAATGACACCGGAAAGGATCCTGCCACAGTGAACACCCATGTAGCGTTGCGAAGCTTGCCTAAAAATGTATCATATGGAAGTTTCCGACCGCAATCGTGCACTGACCATTCGTACTCACTTGAAGCTTCCTCGGACACGTTTACTAGAGAAGGCAAACTCATCCTAATTCCATTTCCATGACAAGCTCCAGCAAACAACACCTCGTGGGACTTCTCTGGCCAGAGTGGTAAGTCCTCAATGTAGAGCAACGGGATCGGGACACGATGGACCACCACCCCCAAAGGAATTGTATGGTCAGCACCGCGGGAATCAAAAACCAACACGTTACTCCAATTCGTGTCAGCGCCAAAAGAATGTGCGCATGCTTGCACCATCACCGTAAAGTATCGGAAGTCAGGGTCCAGAGATTGCAGAAGCTGGACAGTCTGATTCAATGGGCCCTCTGTGTTGTACCTCCGGGGCGCGTCCTCTGCTATAGACTTCCATGGAATAGGGAGGTAGACCAATCCCAAATAGAAATTGGGCTCTGTACGGAATCGCTGCATGAAGTGTTCAAAGAAGGCTTCATCTGCAAGCCCCCGATCCGACGTGCGTGGCGATGTCCATTCGAAAGGGCTTAACGCCTTGTTTCTGCAACTGCCATTGTACAAACATGTTCCCTTTGAAGGGGTAAGCCACGCACGGATAGGCAACGTCCGCTCAAGCATTGCCTTTTGAGCTTCCCTCCACTTGTGAAGTGAAGCGCTGGAGTCTGCACGCAAGTGTGTGGCTTCCCTTAATGCATGGAGCACGTCATCAACGCTTCGCACGTCAATTGGACCCTGGCCAATTCTCGCTAGACCATCTGCTACAATTGACTTCTGGTATAGAAGGTACCACGGCGCAATACTGATCGCAATCAGTAAATATGTGCATCCTGCTGACCAGCATGTGAAAAACGACCTGCGCGGCGCATTGGCAAATTCAGAGGAGATCGAGCGAGCTCCTGCAACTCGCACGAAGCCACAATAGGGGCCGCTGTTGCTCATCCTCAGTATGTGTTGTCGCCATCTAGACTGAGCTTCAACCAACCCTGCCTGAGCCCAAATGGCTTGAGCCAAAATGGCTACGATGAGCCGACGATGACGACGAAGACGACGAAACGACGAAGACGAAGACGAGGACGACGACGACGACGACGACGACGACGACGACGGCGCGCCCCAAGAGGCGACGACGACATTACGACGACGACGACGACGACGACGACGGCGACGGCACGCCCCCACAGGCTCCCCAAAATGCCCCCAACAAGTTCCCAGAAGGCTTTCTGGGAACTCGATTCATCAGGCCTCCGCCCCCTACGCAACCATCTTCCCCGAAAGCCTTCCGGGATGCGGATTTACATGCATGGACTCCACACTGCCCATATAATGCGTTCAGCGTGGAGAGCACTTCTTCACTTCGCGATCAAACCATATGTGGTCCGCTACTTCAATGGAGCAGTGAACTCGTCAAGGCCTTGGGCCTGCTAGAACCTGAGCGCGCGCGATGGTTCTAGTATATATATGTATGTGTGGAGACATTCGATTTCCTTCGGAGCACTCATCGCTAACACTGAGACATCGGGATCATCACACTTGGTGTCCTTATGGCCCTAAGACTCTCATGCGCCGAGAAGCGATCGCGCCAGGAGGTTTGCGAGCTCACGCGAGGTTTGCGGGGCCCGCAAGGGGGCGAAACAAAAGAAGGTTGGGGGTCAGAAGCCAGCCCCAGGGCAAGTGTCGAGACCTCTGAAGGTCCACGCTCGGCCACACGGAAGATGAATCCTAGGCAAGACTGACCTTTGATGCGCGGCTTCCGGGGAACGCAAGGGAACCAGATCCAAGCGCGCAAGCCAGCGCCTGGGGGGACACCTTTGGGCCCACACCGAAGGTCAGTCCGGCGAGGGGCCACTCCTGCGCGTGGCCGACACGCTGTAAGAAAATCACAAATGCGCAGGGGGTCTGCGGCCCGGGCAGCCCGTCTTGAGCATAGACCGACCGTCCCGGCATTCCTAGTCCTACCACGAAATGTTCTTAGAACCCAAAAATGTTCTAAGAACAAAAACAATGTTCCTAGAACAGAAGCCCCATGTGTTAAAACAAGACAGACTCCGCCAGAAATGTTCTAAGCACATTTCGTGCAGACCACAAAAGGTTCTCAGAACATTGCTTGGTGGGGCCATGGGCGAGCCGGGACGCTTCGCCACTGCCCGAACGTTCTCGGAAAATCTCAAATGCGCAGGGGGTCAGCAGCCCGGGCAGCCCGTCGGCGGCCTCCGAGCGGCCATCGGGCGGCCTCTGGCCGGCCATCGGGCGGCCCTCGGGCGGCCCCGCGGGCGGCCTCCGGCCCGGCTGTCGGAGCCCTCCGACAGCCCGCCGGCGGCCTGCCGCGGCGTGGCCCCGGCGAGCGGCCTCCGGCGGCCTTCGGGTGGCCTTCGGGTGGACTGCGGCGGCTTCCAGGCGGCCTGCGGGCGGCGGCGGCGGGGGGCGGCGTCGCCACCGCCGCTCCTCGAGCTCCAGGCGCAGGTAGGCGATGGGCTTGCCCTCCGGGCCAGCGCCGAGGAACCTCGGCAGAGCGCCCTCAAGCTGCGGCAGGAGTGCGGTGAGGCTTTTTGCTCCCAGCCCTCCTGCGGTGTGGGGTCCTCGCTTTGGACAGACAGCGCCCCTTCGTCACTCCTTCCCTCCTTCCTCCCTCCTCCCGCTCCTCCCTCCTCTCATCCCCGCCTCTGCCTCCCGCACGTCCTCATCGTTCGTGGCCCCGAGGGAGCTCCACCGAAGGGCCCCGCTGGCTGTGCTCACGTGGCGTGCCAAGAGGGGAACGGAAGGGCGTTGCTGGTCACGGCGGGCCTCGGCTTCGAGCAGGTTGCCCGACCTGGATCTACGGAGCAGTCTCGGAAACCATAGCCTTTCCTGAGCCCGAAGCGGTCCTCACTTCATCGTCTTGACTGCATCGTCTTGATGACCACCTGCAGGGCAAGTTGCCCGACCTGGATCAACGGAACGGTTTCGGAAACCCCTTTCCTGAGTCCGAAACGGTCCTCGCTTCATCGTCGTGACTGCATCGTCTTGACTGACCACTTGACTGACCACCATATAGGTGTGCAGTCGCAGAGAGGCAACGTACGTGTCTGGCGCAAAACTGCACGATGCAATCTATATGGTGCAAAACATGCGATGCATTGTACGTGGTGCGCCATACAAGGTACAAGCTGCGTGGTGCAAATTTGTTGTGCGATGTAAGTAGCGCTATGTTTTATAACTTGCAAATGTTCTGAATATTCTAAGAGATTTCACACGCCGTTTTGACGATCAAAATTCTTCGCACCCGTATTAGATTTTCCGGTCAATAGCGGCAGTATTACTCAGCGGAACCGATCGTGCTGAAACAAAAAACGCATTTTTTCGAGTTCCCGATCTGATGCTCCAGGAAGGTTTCTGTCTGCTTTCAGAGCATTCTCACGCGTGCAAGACGCTCTACGAGGTCCCCGACGGTAGCCTTTTACGGAATGCGGTAGACTTACGCCGGGCATGTCCTCCTACATGCGGATTTTGGTAGAAAAAATCCCCCAACAGCGCTTGCACTTAGAAATTCTTGCTTGGCTTATCAATATCAGGGTGAATGGCGGCTTGTGCGGGCGGTGCCGCACGTCTTCGCCGTCGCCGTCGCCGTCGCCGTCGCCGTCGCCGCCGCTCGGGGCGAATGGCGTTTTTTTGCGGGCGGTGCCGCCCGTCGCCGCCGTCGCCGTCGCAGAGGTTCTCCTTTCGGATAAAGAAAATAGAATCCAGCACCCTCCCGAAACTGTGGTTAACAGTACACCCTTCCGTATTGTAATTTGCTGATGGTTATGCCTCAGCGTCCATCCAAATATGAACTCACACCATCCCAGGTGGGGGGGTTTTGACCCCCCCCCGCCTTTTGCTTGGCACGAATTACAACGCGCGCGCACTATTTGATGACAAATCGTCAGTTTTCAAAGACCCCTTTCGTCGAATAGGACAAAAGCGCTGTCACGCGAGCGTGCCGAGATCCTTCAAAAACCTTCGGTGCACTAGAGGTTCCACAAATGAGTGCCTAAACATCTTACAACAAGAAAACGCAGGTGTCCGCAACATTGGTTAAAAAAACGTTGCGCGTTTATGCAAAACCTTAAGAACACCATCGGGCGCTCAAACTTATCATACAATGTGACCAAACGGGCCACGCGCGCGTGACGAAATCGTTCGAAAGCCCTTGCGCACGTGCTGTCGCAAGAATCCCTGTGCAAATAATTAAACGAAATGCGCACGCGCGCGCAATCATGCGCGCATGCTGGAATCAATCAAAAACCTTGGTTTGCCTTCCGTCATCACCGACGCGAGAAAGCCGCCATCGTCGTCGGCGAGATCAGCATCGGCGCCGTCACTGGCCGTGCCGTCGTCGCTGCCAACATCTTCACCAGCATCGGTACTATCATCATTGTGTTTACCATTGTCGGCATTGCCCTGACACCGCGCCCGCCCAGGTCGACGACTCACAATGAAGTGCCCGCTGGAAGGTGCCCAGAGGTCCGCGCCGCCGCGGCCGCGTCGATCGCGTGAAACTGGCTGGCCGCTGCGCGCGCGTGCATTCGCGGGCTGGCGCGGCCGCAGAGATGCACCAGCCAGCGCCAAACACTATTCGCAATCGACGCCGCATGGGCTTTGTAAACCAAGTTGCAGGTGGGTGGGTGGGATGTTTGCGCGAGCAGTGGAGTGGGTCAAGCGCGGCGACGGGTAGTTCATTGCACCACGTAGGCAGCGCAAAGGTTGCACCGCATATATTGCATTACATCAGTTCCACCGCGCACATTGCACGAATGCAAAAAAAAGCAAGAGCGTACGGTTTGGGGTTTGCGCTGGCTAACATAAAACATATTCGAAAAACTCGAAACGAGTGGAAACTAACACGAAACATCGTCACCATGCTGTTTTTCAAGAAATGCCAGATTTAACAACAGACGTTCGATCTCGTGCAGCGCAATCTGTGCAGCGAGCCTGCGTCGTCACGAGGCGGCGGCGGGCGCCCCCCCCCCCCGGAAACGCCGGCCAGCGCCCCAGGCGGCACCAAAACGGCGATGGGGCGGCCACCCTATGAAAACCCAGACATGCGAGCCAAACCGGCACCGACCCCCCACCATCCTGCACACAGAAAGCACGACGCAGGCAAATCATGGGAGCCTCCCGTATTGTATCCTTGTCGGCTGTTGCGAACCGAAGCTATCCGACGCTTAATCGACGCCACTCGACGCTAGCCGACGCTAGTCGACGATAGCCCACGCGAGATCAACCCTAACTCATCGACTCCCACACGCTATTCGACGCTAGAGACGGAATTAAGGGGATATACAAGGCTCCCATGATTTGCTACCGAAGCACTTGTTCATCAAACGCCCGCAATTTTCAAGAACCCCAGGCGACAAAACAGGGCGAAAAGGGCACGCGCGCGTCGTCGGGCGCGACGAGGCAAACACAGAAACACGTGCCAACGCACGAAGAGGTGACGAGGCGGCAGCGGGCAGCCATCCCGGAAACGCGCTGGCCAGGGCACGGGGCGGCAACGAAGGCGGCGACGGGTGCCCCACGAGCAAAAACCCGGGAAAGTACTGCAAGCACGGTTTGGGTTTTTTGTGGAACGCGTATATGAGCGACGAAAAGCGAGATGGCCTGCGACCTTCAGCGGTGGCTCACGCGGGCCACCGGAGCGGCACGCCACATTGGAGACGAGGGCGCCTACGCGAGACCCCACGCGGGCAGCCTGCGCGCCACTATCAGCGCCGCAGATGACCGCCTCTTCTTTGCGCCGCTCACATGTTTGCCAGCGCGGATACCAGCCAGTACATGTTTGCCAGCGCGGATACCAGCCAGTGAGTTACTGCGCCATGGATGGGCGAGCCACGTGGCAAAAGATGCGGCGCAGCCCGTGTGGTGCAACCTACGTGGTCCAATCTTCGGGAGCGGCCAAGAGGGGGGTGTCCAAGAGGGGGGGGGTGCAAATCATGACCGGCGGCATGTGCGCGGCCCGGGGGGGGGACTTGGGACGTAATGAAATAAGAAGGGGCGCCATGAAATCTGGGGAGATATCATGCCCCCCGCCATGATATGCACCCCCCCCTAGTCATCACCCCCCTCTTTCCCGCCGCCGAAATCTAGCTGGTGCAGGCTTCGCGGCGCAAGCGCGGCCGCCCTGGGGGCGCCCGCGAGGCGCCCGCGGGCGGTACCCATCCCGGCACCAGCCGAACACCCACAACACCCACCCGAACAGGTCCGAAGAGAAGGCAGAGACCTAAGCGTTACCACTCCCTGGGATAGCACTGCAAGTCTGCGGGCTGCAGGTCTACGAGGTGCAAGCAATCTCTTGCTCGACTTGAAGCCGTGCTCTCCACTGCTCGTGCAAGCATCCCACCCCCACCCGCAACTTGGTCGCAAGACCTCTTGAGACCGTGACAGTAGGTACCAAATGGCACTTGGCAACGACACCGACGCCGAGGACAACAGCGACAACGACGACGACGACGCCGACACCGACTACGACGACACCGACGACGTCTCCAACGACTTCGACGACGACGACGACGACAACGACGACGACGAAGACGACGACGACGACGACGACACCGACGACGACGACGCCGCCGCCGCCGACGACGACGACGGTGACAACGCCGATGACGACGACGACGCTGCCGAGGACGATAACGACGACGACGACGAAGACGGCGACGACGACAACGACGACGTCGCCAACGAAGACGGCGACGACGACAACGAGGGAGGAGGGAGGACGACGACGCCGACGACGACAACGACGAGGAAGGAGGGAGGACGGCGACGACGCGAACGACGAAGAAGGGAGGATGGCGACGCCGACGGCGACACCGACGAGGGAGGAAGGAAGGCGACGACGACGATGACGGCGACGAAATAAGAGGGACGACGACGAGACGCCGACGACGGACGATGACAATGACGAGGGATGAGGAAGGACGACCACGGCGACAACGACGACAGAAACGACGACGACGCCAAAGAGGACGACGACGACGAGGAAAGACAGAAGACGACGACGGCGACGACGACGACGAAGAAAAAGGACGGCGACGACGACGACGGCGACGGCTCAAAAGCGCGCGCACGTGTTTGTTGAAAACCCGTGTTGCGAAACCTATGTTCTTGTATGTTGTTTGTTTGCACACTCGATTTCGAAACCTTTCGGAAACCGAAAGTTGTTGAAGGATTTCGGCATGCGTGCGCGACGACGCGCGCGCGCACTTCGTCACATCTGTTGCGGGGGATTCTCGCGACGGCACGCGCGCAAAGGCGTTCGAAAGATTTCGACATGCGCGCGCGAAGCCCGTTTGGTAGTACTGTTTTTGGGAAAGCTTGAAAACCCCTATGGTTGCATGACGGTTTCGCAAAGGCGCGCGCAATTTGTGTTAGAACATCGTCGTTGCGAAACCATGTGTTGTTGTAGGTTTGTTGGGCACTCGATTTCAAAATCCTTCCGGACCGGGGGTTTTGAAAAATTTCGGCATGCGCGCGCGACGACGCGCGCGCGTGCACTTCGTCACACTTTCTGTTGCAAGGGATTACTGGAAACGTATGATTTGTGATAAACGAGTGCGCGCGCAATCTTTTTGTTGCAGAGGACGACGGGGGGGATGACGGGGGCGGTCAAAGGTAGGATGGATATTGAGTCAGGGTCCGATGTGTTTTGCAAAGGTTCCCAGGGGATCGTTAACCCAGGGGGAAGAGGGTGCTAGAACCTATTCTCCCTCAGTGACTAAAATTGTCAGCTCCACTGCTCGCGCAATCATCCCACCCACCCACCCGCAACTTGGTTTGCAAAACCCATGCGGGAGCGATTGCGATGAGTGCTGGGTGTTGGCTGGTGCATCTCTGCGGCCGCGCTGGCCCGCGCATGCTCGCGCGCGCAGCGGCCAACTAGTTTGGCGCGGCCGACGCGAACGCGGTGGCGCTAACCGCTCGGCACGTCGCAGCGGGCACGCCAATGCGAGTCGGCGACTTGGGCGGGCGCGGTGCCATGGCAACGTCGACAACGGTAAACACGATGATGATAATGATAGCGATGCTGGCGACGATGCTGACAGCGACGACGGGGCAGCCAGTGACGGCGCCGATGCTGATCACGCCGACGACGATGACAGCGTCTTCGCGTCGGTGATGAAGGTTTTCGAAGGAATTCGAAATGCGCGCGCGGCAGAAGAGTGGCCCGTATGGTATAATTCGACTCGGATCGTGCCACCCCCGCACGCGCGAAAGGGCGTTCGAACGATTTCGACATGGGCGCGCACGCAGCCTGTTTGAGAGCAACGCATGTAAATTTTGAATCACGTATGGTTTTCTGATGAATTCGCAGGCACGCGCGCGCACGCTTTTGTTGATAATCCGTGTTTCGAAGCCTTGTGCCTTCAACATGTTTTTTGGACACTCGATCTTGAAATCCGTCCGAAACCGAAAATTCTTGAAGGATTTCGGCATGCGCGCGCGGCGACGGGCGCGTGTGCACTCCGTCTCAGTTTTCGCAGAAGGGATTCTCGAAAACGTGTGACTTTTGATAAACGAGTGCGCGCGCATATAAATTTGTTAGGAGAACCGCCGGGGGGCCGATACCGGTTTGGCGGGGATCCTATGAACTCGCAGGTCGGATGGACACTGGGTCAGAATCATATGTGTTTTGCTTAGGTTCCGGGTGGGTCTGTAAGTCTGGGGAGGGGAGGGTGGTAGAACCTATCTCTGTATAAGAATAGACAATTCATGTCTGGAAGACCGCGGAGTCGCCAACTCCACGAGCAAACACCCCACCCACCCATCCACCCACATTTTTGAAACGAAACCCAACTGGCGCAATGACGCGGACATGTTTATCAGGCAGAGTCGTGACCCTGGCAGGCGGGCGATTATAGTGACGACGACATCGGCGACGACGGCAACAACGATGGTGATGATATTGACGCCGGTGGCGACGATGACGAGGGCGACAACAGCGACGATTATGGTGATGATGATGATGAGGGTGATGATGGTAAGGATGATGACGATCATGATGTCGACGGTGACGGTGATGACAACGACGATGAAGATGGCGATGAGAAAAAAATGGGTGGTGATGGCCCTGTTATCACCCGGAAGTGACTTGATGCATACCACGCTCCTGCTCCTGGCGCACTACACGCGCCGACGGGTTTGCGGACGCCGTTCGCCAACGTCGTCCCAGCTCAAGTTATTAACCGCGTCGCGGGTGCAGGAGGAAACGATGTTGGCCAGAAATTTATCAAAGTGAAAGCGGCCGCTAATTCCGCAGTCGTCGAGGTCGTGTTGCCGAGGAAAATGAATGCCGTCACCCACTGATGTCAAATACCATTCTGCAGCCAAGTGCCAGTGAAGATGATAGTCAGGATCATGACGATGGCGATCAGAATCGTGCGTGTGAGAACGATACGGGTGTGCATGCGCAAGATGTAATGCTGTAGTTGGGTGGGAGACATATGTTGCATATGTGTGTGTACATATCCAGGTTAAGGACTTATGCACTGGTTTCGAAGTGCGCGCTGGGGATCAGCTGCGTCTGGCCCGCATAACAATATTAGCAAAGACGGTGGCTGAGCGCTCGTTGCTACATGATTTCGGTATGCGCGCGTGTGGCCCGCATGGTCCGATTTGACATGATGGTAGCAGCGCGTGGTGCTCCCATTATAGCTGCGAACGCGCGCAAGATCAAAGCAAATTATCCGCATAGTGCTGCTTGACAGGAATCAAGGGCACTGGGGTCGAATAGAGGCCTGGCTAAGGTTGTATGATCTGACGTTTACAACTACCGAACAGGCAAGAGAGATAAGAAGTATGTCGGGCGTGTGCTCCTACGGGCGGATTTTTGACGAACCATCAAAAAGTATCCAAAACATACTCATAACGAATCAAACATAATCAACAAATCGTGCTCGACTATTGTCTACGAACTATTGTTGAACGGTCCTCCTGTAGAGGGACATGCCCGACTTAAAATTAGAAAACCAATACGCGTGGGGGAGCCGTTGAGTCCAGCCTCGGCATTCTGCATGGGGTTCCAATATTCGTGAGACACAGGAACACACGACACCACCCCACCTACGGGCCCCACGGGGCTCAGCGTACACCCGAAAACCTCGCGTGAGTTCTTGCGTGGTATGCGCTGCGGCCCCTGGTGGGCCGTAGCGGAACATGGAGGGCCATTGGTGTTGAGCACGGGCCGACCATGCCGGCATTCCTGTAGGCAGAACCCAAAACTGTTTTGAGAACGAACGCAATGTTCTTGGAACATGATCCCGATGTGCTACAGAAAGACAATCTCGGCCAGACATATTATCAGAACATTTCGTGCAAGCCACAAAAGGTTCTTCTAACATTGTTTGGTGGGCCTATTGGCACGCCAAGAAGCTTCGCATTTGCTTGATGGTGGGGTGGTGGCGTTTGCTTTTTTGCTCGAACCATGCACCAACAACGGCGCGGCAACGGCGGCGGGCAGGCGCGGGCGACAGCCCAGAAGACCGCGAGCCCGCGCACGAGCCGACGACGGGGCGGCGATGGTCGGGCACCAGGCGAGAGCCCGGCAGCGTATGCTGCACCCCCACGAGCAGGCGACGAGGCTTGGGCGCCGCTTCACGGGGTGGCGATGCATAGGGGGGGGGAGAGGGCGGCACTTCTCGGGCCCTGAAGGCCCCCCTCGGGCCCTCAAGGGCCCCTTCAGGCGCCCTCAAGGGCCCCTGTTCTGCAGCCTCCATCTAGACAGAAAAAAAAAACACTGCGCAAACATAGACTTGAGGCGCTCCGCGCGGGTTTGGATTGGCGCTGGGCCCGCCTCCCCTGGCGCGCGGGGCGCGCCAGGGGCGGCGCCGGAGGCGCCGCTCGGATCCACGAAATCCGCGCGGAGCGACACAAGTTGATTATGGATTTTTTGGTTCTTCGATTATCTCGGTAAAGGCTTAACGACTTCTGCCGTCCTTCGACTCGCGCTGGAGCGGCCGCGAAGTGCTCGAACTTTCCCTGGAGATCTCTGGATTTACCTGGATTTACCCAGATTTATCTAGATTTACCTGGATTGACCTGGATTTACCTCGATTTATCTGCATTTGCCTGGGTTTATCTGGCTCGATTCTCACAAGTCGATTGGCGAAAAGTCGACAAGCCCTTAGGGATTATCGTCCCACCATTACGCGGCGCCCTCACGGCGGCGACGGGCGGACCTCGGGCAGCGCATTTGCCGGCGCACCGGGGCGGCGAATGGGGCGGGCGGCGAGGGGCGGGCGCCGGCGAGCCAGTGGAAGCGCCAACAGCCGAGAACTCCGAACATGAGCACACGCCCCTCGGAGCAGCCTCTGCTCGGGGGATGTCTGCACACAGAGGGGTGGGGGAGGAGGAGGAGGAGGAGGAGGAGGAGGAGGAGGAGGAGGAGGAGGAGGAGAGGAGGAGAGGAGGAGGAGGAGGAGGAGGAGGAGGAGGAGGAGGAGGAGGAGGAGGAGGAGGAGGAGGAGGAGGAGGAGGAGAGGAGGAGGAGGAGGAGGAGGAGATGGCAGCGCCGCACGCGTCCCATCCGGGACCCCCAGAAGCCTGCACCCCCTCTCCGGGGCTGGCTTCTCATCCTCTGCTGCTGTCGGTGGCGGCCCCGAAGCCCAGAGGAAGGCCCGCGGAGGCCAAACCTGGCGAAGATCTTCCCGTCGCGTTTTTGTTGCTGTCGCGACGCGATGGGGTCTGGGCTGCGGGGGTGCGGCAGGGCTCGCGAGCGGTCGCCGGGGGGGGGGGGGGGAGGGCACACCCCCCCGGAGCACGGCGAGGGGAGGCGGGCGCAGGCTGCCCCGCAGGGGGGGAGCAACCTGCGCGCCGGATGCCAGTGAAGACGACCCGCGCTGCTCGTCCTTGAACAGAGGCCGACCGTGCCGGCACTCCGAGGAGGCCCACCACGACAGGCTCTTCGAACCCGTAGACTTCCCAACGAGCAAAAACAGCAGTGCGCTTAGACCCCTGGGGCCGATGCGTCGAAACCAGACAGCCCCAGCCAGAACTGTTCTGAGAACAGGCCGTGCGAGCCACAGGCGGCTCTTAGAACTGTCTTCCGTGGGCCCATAGGCAAGCCAGGACGCTTCGCCACTGCTTGACATCTGGATCAGCTAGGCCGGGGTGGCCTGCCTCTGCGCGCTCGGTCTCGGGGGCTCGGGCTCCACCTCCTCCTCCTCCTCCTCCTCCTCCTCCCCTCCTCCTCCTCCTCCTCCTCCTCCAGGAAAATAACGAGACCCAGCCTGACATGTGGCGACCTCCCGCTGCACACGTCCCACGACAACTGGCCTGTGAAACCTCGGGACGGGCCCGTCGAAGAGCGTCGGCAAAGGCGAGATCCAGCGACTCGAGTCTTACGCTCCGCGAGAAGAAGGGCCATACGCCGGCCGATGAGCTGAGCCGCGCACTCCAGCGCGTCTCGGGCCCGGAGGATGGCCCGCTCGCCCTGAGCCGCGGGGCCGGCCGCGGGGCGCGACCCAAAGTCTGCCTGCGTGGCGAGCGACTTCGAGGGCAGGTTGCGTGCTGATCTCGCTCTGCAGCGAAGGCGGAACGAAGACAGAACGAGCGAGAACGAAAACGAACTTCAAGCTGATAACACTTTAGGTCGAGCCCTGACAGGCAGAGAGGGAGGAGCGAGGAAGGGGGCAAAACAAACAAGCGATCCGCGCGGGCGAAACATCTCAGAGTCCACCCCGCGGACCCAGCTGAGCCGTCAAACCTGCTGAGCTAGGGCGCCGCCTCTTCAGAGGAACAACTATCAGCAAACACATAATCACATACGGTGAGGGTATTGGATGAGGAGCCCTTAGATAAAGAACCCATGGTCTGGAAGTGGAACACGAACCGAGGCTTGGCCATGGATATCACACCGCTTTCATGAGATAGAATCCTCCAGGGTCTAAAGCCTCCTGAACACTTTCCTTAACGAACGCCCCAACCGTACTTTCTTAGAACAAGAAATAAGGCCATAAACCCAAACTTTTGGCGCTCCGCACAGACTTCTTGGATCCGCGCTGGGCCCCCCCCGGCGGCGCCTCCGGCGCCGCTCCTGGCGCGCTCCGCGCACCAGGGAGGTGGGTCCAGCGCAGATCCCAGAAATCGACGCGGAGCGCCTCAAAATCATGTTCATGGCGGTTATTATTATTATGTTTCTCTGTGGTCCGTGCGGATTTCTTGGAGCGGCTCGAGAACCCCCAGCCCTGGCAGGGCTCAGGGCTCGAGCTGAACAGCGCTTTTCGTTTTCGTTGTTCGTTGTGTTTTGTTCTCCTTCGTTCTGTCGTCGCTCTGCCTTTTTGCTGTGAAACGAAATCAATTATTGAAAACGGCCCACGAAGGCGCCGAAACGCCGTTTCGCTCGAGCCATGGTGGGGCGATCGGGCACCGTCCAACGAGTAGTAGGCGATTGGAGGTCGATGCGTCTCCTCCTGAGCTGGTCCTCCTCCCCAACGCTGCCCCAGTCCGAGGGGGAGGAGGAGCAGGGGCCCCCCGCGAGGTCCACTCCCACGCGCGCAGCCACAAGGGAAAGGCGAAGGGAGCTCCTCTGGAGGAAGCTCTGTTGGCCTCTCTGTACTTAGGTGATGCTGCTGCTGCTGCTGATGATGATGATAATGCTGATGCTGATGCTGATGCTGACGCTGCTGATGCTGCTGCTTTTTTCTCTGCTGATGATGCTGCTGCCGCTGATGATGATGATGCTGATGATGATGATGATGATGCTGATGCTGATGATGATGATGATGATGATGATGATGATGGTGGCGATGATGCTGACGATGGCGACGACGACGGTGATGGCGATGATGATGATGATGATGATGATGATGATGATGATGCTGATGGTGATGATGATGATGACGACGATGATGATGATGATGATGATGATGATGATGATGATGATGGTGATGGTGATGGTCATGATGATGAGGAGGAGGAGGATAGCGGTGATGATCAGAGGGAGCAGGGGGAGAATGAGAAGGATAAGGATAATGAGGAGGATGATGATGGTGGTAATGCTGATGCTGATGATAATCATGAGGTGGAGGAGGATGACGAGGAGAAAGGGGAGGAGGAGGAGCAGGGAGGGATGGAGGAGCAGGAGGGAGGGAGGAGAGGAGAGGAAGGACGAGAGGAGAGGAGACAGCAACAGGGAGCCAGCTGTTCTTGTCGTTCTCGAACTGTGGGGTGGATGAGGGGGTCATCCGCAAGAGGTACGGAGGGCAAAAACACCATCACCATCATCATCAACAACATCATCGTCATCATCAGCATCAGCATCGTGGTCGTCGTGGCAGGAGGAGCAGAGCGGGGGGGAGGGGCCAAAGCCTGTACGAAAACCCGTCAACAGACTCGTGGAATCTCCCTCCTCCCTGCGGATCATCCCGGCTCCTCCGTCCCCCATGTTTCCAGGCCATCCCAATTCCCTCGTCACCTCTGCTCCCTCCCCGCTCCCTCGTCACCTCTGCTCCCTCGCTCCCTCGCCCTCCCTCTCTGCTCCCTCGCTCCGTCGCCCTCTCTCTGCTCCCTCGCTCCCTCGCCTTCCCTCGTCATCTCTGCTCCCTCGCCCCCCCCCACCCCTGGCCTCCCCCTCGAGAACAGGAAGCAGAGTACCCCTGGACCTGTCCTTGGGCGCGTCCCGTGCGGAACTTCGAAGCAGATCTGCCGTGGCCACGAGGGCGCCCCAGGAGGCCCGAAAAGGGGTGAGCACATCCCAAACCGACTAATCCTCTTCTCCTCCTCCTCCTCCTCCTCCTCCTCCTCCTCCTCCTCCTCCTCTTCCTCCTCCCCTTTAGTCTCCCCTTCGCCCCTCGCGCGATGCATCAACCAAGAGGCTGCAGGATCTAGAACGGTCATGAAGCTCGGCCTCCTCGGCCATCCATCTTCGATCAACGCGATGCTCTTCCCTCGACCTTCCCCCTTCTCCCGACCCTCGACCCAGCCTCCCGGCACTCCGAAGGTCCTGGAGCGCTCGCGCACGCATCCCCCCGTCCGCGGCGGGTCGGGCCCGCGGGACGGGCGGGCCTTGCCCAGGGCGCCCTGGGGGCTGCCCCTCAGCCGCACGGGGTTCGGGCTGAGGTTCATCACCTCGAAGCCCGTGGAACACCTGAATGGGGCGTCGGTGGGACTCGCGGGGCTCGAGGACCGCGGTGCTCGTGCTTCGGTGGGCCTCCTGGGGCGCCCTCGTCGCCACGGCTGCACCCACCCTCGCACTTCCGACAACGAGGCACCCCCAGGAACGGGCCCTGGGGCCGAACGTTTCGGGGAGGAGAAGATCCCCCCTCGCACTTCCAACAACGAGGCACCCCCAGGACAGGCCCTGGGGCCGAACGTTTCGGGGAGGAGAGGGAGGAGTTGCGAGTTGCGAGCTATCCCACGTGGTGGTCGATACGAACTACGAGCGGCGCTGCTGCTCAGCCTTGCTAAGCAATTTCGGCCACTTCCCTTCTTGAAGTCTGGACAGGTACTCCCTTCTATGGGGTGCGATTTGGCGCGTGCATTCCTTGGCTAACTCCCGCAACTGGGAATGTGCGAAGTAGCCACACTGGGTGCAAAACCAAACCCTCTGCACACGAGACAACGAGGAGGACGAGGAGGAAGGGAGCAATGGAGAAGAGGACCAGCAGGAAGAGACCGAGGAGGACGGGCAAGGAGAAGGAGGAGGAGGAGGAAGAGGAAGGGAGGAGGTGACGAAGAAGAGGAAGGTAGGAGGAGGAGGATTCCTGAGGAGGAGGAGGGGGAATCGGGCTCCCCCTATGTTGGGGTAGTGGTTCCACCAGGCAGCTGCAGAACGTTTTCTATTGTGCCACATCGTCTCGATGGCCAGCCTAGAAGTTTAATGTCACTATCTTGAAGACAAAGGCCAGCCTTCGATCAACGCTGCTGCGTACACTTCGGAGGAACGGAGATTAGGTGGTGGGGGAGGTGATCGTGCGCACCACGCCTACTAGGAGTTTTGTAGACCCCTGCCTGCCCGATTGCTAGACCGATGCAATAGCTTTATTCCAGCAGCTGCTACTGCCCTCGAGGAGGGCCTTGATGGAGGGGTGGTGGGAGCTTGATGCGGGGTGGGTCAGGTACTTGACACTGTGCTTGCTCTTGATCGTCGCTCGACTAATCCAGCTTATCTCGCCTCTTCCAAATTTGTCTCAGCAGTACTGCCGCACTTCACGCTTATATCCTCTCGCGCTCGTCCTCTTGGGGTCTTTGCTTGCGTCCGACCCTATACATGATCAAGTTGTGAGGAGCGCATCAGCCTCGATATTTATGTATGACCAACATAAGGGAGGATGGGAAAGGAAGCGTTGAGGGAAGAGGGGGAGGCAGGGAGGGAGGGAGAGAGGAATGGCGGGAGGGAGGGAGGGAGTGAGGGAGGGAGGAGGAGGAGGAGGCGGAGGACGAGGACGGAAGGCGAATCATCCTAACAAGGACGAGAAGCATACGCATGATGAGAAGAGGACGGAAGAAGAAGAGGAGGGGAGAAGAGGAGGGCAGAAGAGGCGGGAGGGAAGAGGGAAGATCAGGGCCGAGGAGGCCCCTCTCCCCGCGGAGGGGCGAGCGGCGGGAGCGGGAGCCCGGAGACGAGCATCGGCGCCCGCCCGCGCGGGGGTGCCGCCCACCTCCGGCACGAGGCGGGGGGGGGGGGACGAGGAAGGGCCCAGGGGCACACAAATAAATACACACAAATCCGAGGATTCCCCACATTTTCCTATATTTTCAGGGTTTTGGTCTCCACCCCCACTTCCCAGATTTTCCCATAATGTTCTGGGGAATCGACGATTCATCGTGTCTGTGTTCTTCCCCTCCTGAGGAGGGGGCAGCGAGCGCAGACCCCCGTGCGGGGGCTGCGAGAGTTGTCCTTGGCCCAAGGTGCACCCAGTCTGTCGCTCCATCCTGGAGCCGCGCGGGACCGCACAGGCAGACTGTAATGAATGTTGCTGCTAGGGTCTTTGATGGATGCCGGTGTTCTCGCCTCGTCGGCTCCCCGACGCCCCAAGACTGCCCAAGATGCCACCAAGGTCGGCACAAGAGGGTCCCAAGAGGTTTCCAAGACGGCCCCAGAACGACCCAAGAGGAGCCCAATACGGCCCCAGAGGCCTCCAAAAGGGCTCCCAAAGGGTACCCACACGAGAGCCCGAGCGAACATCTCGAGCCCTCGGCCCCGAGAAGCTCTCAGGGGCCCCTGGGGGCCCTCTGGGCCTCGTTAGAGGCTGCACTGGGGGCCGTGGGGGGCCTCCTTGGACATCCTGGAAGCACCTTGAGGGTGCCCCTGGGCCCAGTCCAGGGCAGTCCGTCTCGATGGCCACTCAATCGGGCTCCGTATCCCTGTGGTCGTTTCCACGAGCACCTCCCACGAATTGCTTCCTCTAGAAAAACAAAAACGGCATAAACAACAACTTGTGGCACTCCGCGCGGATGTCTTAGATCTGCACTGCACCCCCCTCCCTGGCGCGCGGCGCGCGCCAGGGGCGGCGCAGGAGGCGCCGCCGTGGGGGCCCAGCGCGGATCCAAGAAATCCGCGCGGAGCGCCAAACGTTTATGGTAATGACGTTTCTTATTTGTCTTATTAATATTCTTCTTCTTCTTCTTCTTCTTCTTCTCATTCTTCGAATTCAATAGGGCTCCGTAATCCTGTGGTCGTTCCCGCGAGCACCTCCCACGAATTGCCGCCCCCTTCGTGGGCGGAGGCGAGCCAGATGCAGCCGCCGGGCCGAGGAAACTGCCCCTGGCACCCGCCCGTGGCCGGCCTCGGCCCCCCTCAGCAGGGGACGACCTTCGCGCGGCATTCGAGGACGCGCGGCGCGCGCAGGCCTTCGCCGTTGGGTGGAGGCGGGAGCTCGCCCCCCCCCCCCCCCCGGACTTTCGAGTTGGGCCGAGGGGCACTTCTGGCAGCACTCCTGCCCGAGCCCGGAGGAAATCGTCACCGATCCCAGGCCCAGGACGAGCCTGGCCAGGGTCGGTGTAGGTGTAGATGTGGTGCCCTGCGATCTGGGGGGCCGCGGGGGCCTCCTTGGACATCCTGGGGGCACCTTGGGCCCCGGGCGGGCGGTACTCGGGGGTGGACTCGGAGGAGGGGTGAAGGAAAGGCCCCTACAGAGACACTTCGAGGCCTGTTTTGGGCACCAGCTGGCCCCAGAGGGGCCCGCAAGTGCCCCTCTAGGGCCTTTCTCTTCACCCCAAATTTGGGTCCCCCCCCCATTGCCATTAGGTCGGGCATGTCCTCCTAAAGGCGGGCTTTGGAAGAAAAGCTACACAATAACCGAACATACCCCGAACATCGTCCCCAGACGAGTAGACTATTTTTGAATCTTCCTCCTGTGGGGGGACGTGCCCGACTCAACATTGCCACCCGCCCGAAGGCCACGGGGAACTTTCGGGCCCGGCGAAAGATGGGGGGACAGCAAAGGGGAGGTTTGAGAATCAGCTCGCGCAGCCGATGCTCCCGGCGCCTCCCAGCGCCGGGAGGCGCTCATGCATCGAGGAATGGGCCCGGCGGCGGGGCCGAAACCAGCTGCATGTATTCCAAATCCCTTATTAATCGTCCCCCGGGTCCGGTTTTTTAAGGCGCCTTTTTGGTCATTCAGGGGGTCCGGTTTATTAGGTCGCTTTCTTTGGATTGGAGCTGAGGGAGTCTGGTTTACTAAGGCGCCCCATCGAAGAGGGGGTCCGGAATATTAGGTCGCATTTGGAGGGGGGTCCGGTTTTTTGGGGGGGGGTCGATTAATAAGTGATTTGGAGTACCAGATTTCGTACCCCCCCCTCTCCCTATGCCCCCCTTTCGCTCGGCCCGAGAGAAGGCCGAGCGCGCCGGCGCCGAGCGCGACGGCGAGGAGGCCCCGCGGGCGCCGAGCGCCGCCGGCGCGGAGGAGGCGCGCCGGCGCGGCGGGGACGGGGATGGCGGCCACAGGGAGCGGAGCCCCAGGTGCCGAGGGGAACGCAGGAGGAGGAGGAGGAGGAGGAGGAGGAGGAGGAGGAGGAGGAAGTGAAGGAGGAGGAGGAGGAGGAGAAGGAGAAGAGGAGGAGGGAGGAGGAGGAGGAAGAGAAGGAGGAGGAGAAGGAGGAGGAGGAGGAGCAAGAGGAGAAGGAGGAGGAGGAGGAGGGGGAGGAGGAGGAGGACGAGGAGGAGGAGGAGGAGGAGTTCTGGAGCTCTGGATCTGCGCAAGGTCGGTTGAATGAAATTAAACCATGGATTTCTCATTCTTGGCCCTCTCAGCCTTGCTGGAGGCTTTGGGCCAGAGACCCTTGGAGATCCTGGCTAGGTAATCCCCTGCGATTACCTTCAACCCTCTCGGCACACTCTCGAGCAAGCTCTTTGAACTGCTGGGAGGCAAGGCACCCACACATGGTACAAAACCACACCCCGACCACCGAGTGATACCGAACTTTGTGGCTTGAAGGCGGAAAACCCCCTGCAATATGCACCCGCCGTCCTGGAGGGGGTTCAAACAGGGCCCCGTAGACTAACGAGATCAAAACAAGGAGAATCGAGCCAGCCCTTACGTTTGGCGTGTGGTCGACCCCTTACACCGCTCGCATGCTCTACTGTTCTGCTCGCACAGTACGTGAGATGAGGCGAACATGCAGCAGATGGACGGAGCAGGAGGCCTCACGAGCTCTTTCGCACGCTTGCTCTTGGAAATTCCTTTGTCGAGCTCGGCTTCGCACTGAAGGGCCTCTCGGGTGCTCTGGAGGGCCCTCATGCGGACAAGAAAAGCCTTGTGCTCGATCATTTGTAAACGGAATCTGTGATACTCCGACACGCGGGCAAGGTCGGCGCCCACGGCCGCTAATGCATCTGCCATGGTGTTCCCTCAAACCAAAAGCCGTGGAGCCTGGTCAGAAATAATGTCGTCGGCCTCCTGGTGCGAATGCACAAAGACCACTGTACAGACCTGATTGGGGTGAGCTGCCAACCACAGCCCAACGTCCCACCAGAGGTCACTGTCAGGTCCCGCGGGGTGCTGGTGTCGGTGAGGAGGAGGAGGAGGAAGGGGAGGGGAGAGGAGGAGGAGGGGAGGGGAGGGAGGAGGAGAGGAGGAGGAGGAGGAAGGAGGGAGGAGGGGGAGGTGGATGAGGAAGGAGGAGGGGAGAGGAGGGGGAGGAGGGGGGGGAGGAGGAGGAGGAGGAGAGCCTCCGGAGGACGAGTCGCCGCGGGCCCCCTCGCCGGAGAGGGGCCCGCGGGGGCGGAGCACGGGAGTGGTGGTAATGCCCTTCCTGCCGTAGTGTTTTGGCTCAGCCCAGGAGCGGTGACCAGCGCTATTGGGCGAGCAACGACATATGTACATGTACGCCCTCCGCGGTCTTGCCTGCACGAACGTCCCCGTTGACACGCACTCCAGGGGAAGCTGACCGCGTACGTGTACATGTGTTGCTGGCCTCTGAGCTATAACCCCCAGTGACTTGTTGGCAGAGAGTCTGTGGGTCGACGGGTGCACTGAAACAAGCAGCATCCATCTTGTCCCGATTCGGTGCGGGTCCCACACTTGTGTGGGCGCCGAGGGGAAGAGCACGGGAGTGGGAGCCAGGAGTAAGTCGAGCACGTCCCTCTACAGGAGGAATCCTCCAAAGTAAATTAGACAATAATCTGGGAATGAGGTTTGTGGGTATTTGTTTGGCTATGTGTGTTTATTGTTTGTGACTGTTTCGAAATTTGTCGTTCAACACCCGCCTGTAGGAGGACATGACCGACCGAAAACCAGGACGTCCAGGACGAGTTCTGAGGGCCCCCCGGTCGGCGGCGTGCCCATATTCCGTGATCGAGGATGGCCCAGGCACGTCCTGGCTTGTCCCTAACGCCGCCAGTGCAGGGCACTAGTTAGAAGACGCCTTCCCATCCGAAGGCGGTCGGGTCGCTTGCGGCTTGCGAAGGATCAGTCTGCGTCCTGTGTTGGAGCTAGAAGGGCGTCCGAGGTCGCCCAGCAGTGGTTCCAGCGAGCAGAAGGGGGGGCGAAGTTTAAGGCTCTGGGCTCGATTCCTTTTTGTTGCCCTTTGTGCGGCCGTGTTCGGGCCCCGGGGCCATCAGAAATGGACCCGGGGGGGGAAATTGTACCAAATGCACTCCTGTAGGGGTCCGGGAACCGCTTTTGGACGGATTTGCCCTTTCCTGCGACCCCAACCAGGTCAGACATCCTGGCTGCCTCCAACACGGGAGGGCGGACGCACAGAGCGGCCCTGCGGTCGGAAACCTCTGCTCAGTGTATTGCCGCGGCGGCGGCGGCGACACGCCATGCCCTGCGAGCGGATAGCATGTCGCTCCTTTCCGCCCGGCGGGAGGCTCGGAAAATCTCGGGACGTTGACGCTGGCGGACCAGGAAGTGGATAGCGTTAGGTCGGGCATGCCCTCCGGCAGGCGGGTTTTGGATAACAAATGAAAAGTAGTCAAACAAAAATTCCCCAAATAGCCAAACATAAGCGAAAGATCGTCCCCACACTCTTATTCGACGATTCTGGAATCTTCCTCCAGTAGAGGGACATGTCCGACACAAGACGAGGAAAAGGGTAGCGTGTCGCGTCGCAGTGGTGGACCAGAACCGGCGGCGCGACAAACTAATAGCCAAAGTTCCCGACCGTGGGCATCGGATTGCCCAGCTTCTGGGGGCCGCGGTTGGGGGGGGTCCAGCTCCGAGCGCGCTGGCCACGGGGGGGACCCCCGAGAGACAGCACCAGATGTCACTCGGGTGAGGGCTCGCTCTCATTACGCGTGGCCGAGAAAAGCGAGGGGTTCCTGCTCCTCCGACCTCCTCCTCCTCCTCCTTCTCCTCCTCCCCCTCCTCCTCCTGCTCCTCCTCCCCGTCCTCCTCCTCCTCCTCCTCCTCCTCCTCCTCTTCCTCCTCTTCATCCTCCTCCTCCTCCTCCTCCTCCCCCTCCTCCTCCCCCTCCTCCTCCTTTTCCTCCTCCTCCTCCTCCTCTTCCTTGGGATACCTCCTCCTCTTCCTCCTCCCCCTCCTCCTCCTTCCCCTCCTCCTCCTCCTGTTGTTTTTATCCTTGCCGTTCCTCTATTTCCTCCTCCTCCTCCTCTTCTTCTTCTTCTTCTTCTTCTTCTTCTTCTTCTTATTTTTCTATGTCTTCCTCCTCCTCCTAGCGCGATTCTGTATGTTTGGCGATGACAGGCGTCATGGGGAAGGGGGCGGGGGGGTATGACGTAACGCCCCCCCCCCGCCGTGTGGCTCCAGCACCAAAGCCGCGCCCGCGCGCACGATGCGACGAGGGACGACGACGACGACGACGACGACGACGACGACGACGACGACGACGCGAGCAGCATGTTGGGGGCGACCTGCCCAAGTGCGCCTGTGTACACAACGCTCGCGTGCACCACAGCGCGCGTACACCACAGCGCCTGCGTACACCGCAACAACTATGTGTAACGCAGCGCCTGTGTACACCACAGTGCTTGCGTACACTACAACCTGTTGTACATGTGTACACTGCAGCAACCATGTGCAAAACAGCGCCTCTGTACACCACAATGCTTGCGTGCACCGCAGCGCCTGTGCACGCCACGGGACCTGTCTACACCACACATCCGCGTGCAAGGCAGCGCTGGTGTACACCACAATGCCTGCGTGCATAGGACAAGTAGAAGGAACACGTACGTGAGGATCTGCTGCGGACAACTAAAGCGCCACACCAGGATAGTGATGATAATCGGATGCGACGTTCTTCCCTCCTCCCTCCTCCCTCCTCCTCCACCTCCTTTTCCTCCTCCTCCTCCTCCTCCTCCATACCCCATGTCGTGCGGGTTGGCGCTACAGCGCACGTGCGCATCTCAGCGTGCACCGTAGAATGGTCGATTGAACCGGTCCGCTTGGTTCTCGGACGGCTAATTTCGCTGGAGCCTCCTGGACGCAAGTGGGAGATTTAGGGTGATGCGGGCGGACTTGGGGGGACTCGTGGATTCCAGCGTCGCTCCTTTGTTCATAAGGATTCCT